AGTGAACAAAATCGCTAATTGCTACAAGCAAGACCTCCAGACGCCTTCGGAATCTCCTGCAACTCTTCTGAACGGTCTCCTTGTTTAAGTTAGTGAATGCTGCCATAATACTTGCCTTCAGTTCATCCTTCGTGTTACAAGGAGTTTTTTTTTGGTCTCTCGCTTAAGTGCGCCACACACATAATAATGAAAGGGGTTGCAGTCTAGGGAGTTTGGTGGACAGATGTAAGGGCTGATGCGGTTGCTGAAATTGTCTAACAAGCATAGATGGATTCTCTTGCTTGTGTGGCATGGTGCGGAGTCATGTTGCCAGACACAGCTTCTTTCATCAGCCATCCACTTAATTAGGTACAGCACTACCACCTCAAGCCTGCGTGTTGAGTCTTAAGGACTGTTTAAAGATCAATGGGGGCATAACGTCGCCATCACTTGTGCTCACTCCAAACAACTTGATGTTTATTGTATATTTGGTTTTCATAATTATCGGTACATCTTTACAAGACACAGCAAGACAACGGTGGTTCAGAAATTATCGTACTGGAGCTACTGGTGGGAATGCCAAGAAGTAGAACATGTCTTCTCCATTTTCTGGTGGAGTGTATTGCGTCATAGTACACTTTTTTTTTCACAGAATGTGCCCAACTCACCCGAGAGTACAGACGACAAAACGAAAAACAAACAATGCGCATGCTCGAAATTAAAAATATAAAATGGCGACAATTTACTTCTCGTACTCTGTTTATAGGAAGAGAAGTTTGGGTTTTGTTTTAGGTAATCACATATCAACTAACAGATGTCGTTGGGGGAGTTCGAACCAGCATATAAAGGCATGAATCTATTACCCTTTACAATCTATCATCGCTAGTGATTCTTGCAAAATATCCCACATGTACACCAGGATTTATAATTAAAAAAAAAAAAAAAATCGTGGTGTAAACACGTGGGGAATCCATTTTCACATACTTATGGAATAAAACGTCTTGCTTGTTTACTAATATAAGTTACTTAGATAATCCCTGTTGTAGATGCCTGCTCAGGCACTCATGCCCCACTGAGATAAACAGTAGTTTACGCTGCAATTATGCTGAGTTGACCTTAGTTAACATTTCTTTGAAAGAGCGCATAATCTTGTGTGGTAAGCAGTTTGAAAAACGCCAGTACTCTTATACTCTCGGTCACGATGACATGATACTTCGTGCTAGCACTACCATCGACGGCTTCAGAATAGTTCTTTCTACACAAATGGTTTTCAAGTCTTTTCCCGACGATGCCGCACGCTTGTTTCGTTATGAAGTCGCTATTGACCATCGTGAGATTCGAATAAGGTTTTCATGGCCGAAACAGATAGGAGTGGCCTCATTTCTGAGAATGTTTATGAGGTGCCGGTTGGCATAATGCTTATCCGTACGTTAAGCTCCCACTGTCCATAAAATGCTTCCGTGGCGCGCGTTTCAAATAACCTCAGACAATTAAGTCAGCTCTAAACCGGAGAATCGGCGATGGCGGAGAACTCGCGCCTCATAACCAGCTATTTCGGGTAAATGGAGCTCGACAGCCTAAGAAGGTAATCAATCTAAGTGAAGAAAAACCCTGATTTTAACATCCCACCCCCGCTGCATTGCGGTCATATCCAGCCAAACACGGAAAAGACTATATAAGTAAATCCAGAGAGAAAACTCGGAGTAACCGGATTGTCAACACAGACAACTTTGCGGCAACTCCTGCAGGCAACCGTCCCCAAATGCAATGCCATGTATTACTTTTCTATCTTGTTGGTACAATCGAGAGGGTCGGGGACATATTGTTTAGGCAGCGCACAAACTTCCCATACCAACGCCCAGGCTTGCTTCCTGGAGAGGTCACTCCACCAAACGACAGAATTTCGACCAAACAACGTGCTACCTTAATCTCGCGAGATAAACGGATAACTACTACTACTAAATGGAAATAGCGAACCGTGTTCGAATTCAAGTTTTGGCCGGTTGTTCCCTGTGCAGGCAAAGGGGAAAAAAGTGCCTCTGTTTGTAAGGAAATTTGAAGCTAAATGTAATATGTAAATAGATAAATGGCTGCTGATTGAATGCTGTCTTTTAAAAGCCAGTTTTTTTTTTTTTTTAATCTTTTTCTGTAAAGTTAAGAATCAGACAAAAGACGAATTTTACAGGAAGGAAGAAAAGATTTAAAAGATGTAACAAAGAGCGGACGACAACAAACTGACCGAAAGGTTGGTTGATCAGTGTTTGGGACGTCAGCAGATATGTACAAAATAGCAAGTATGGAAGTTGAAAGATGTCATCGATGAAGAAAGATGACTTTTAGTGGTGCAATATAAATAAATTCGACTATCGATCTATTCTTTGAGGTCATCAATCTCGAACCAGACTCATTGGAAACATATCACGATATTCGCCAATTGATTAGGCTTTGTAAATAGTTAAAAAATCGTACATTAAAACAACTGTGTATTTGCTTTTATATATTTTTAAATCATTTAACGCCAAGCATGGCCATAAAGACACTAGGATGTAAGGAGTTACTGAGAGTGAGAGAAACTGAGAAAACTTTCCTGAGGAGAAAGTGTTGAGGGGTCCACCCCTTTTTACACAAATGTACTCACCCAGTATATACTTATACTATGGCTACGTGAAGACCCGAGACAGAGCAAGACCGAAGAGCCGAGTCGAGCCAGAGTGACAGAGTAAAAGGTTGTCGGTGATCGGAAGAGTGAGGGTGAGGTAACAGCGTTGTAGGAGTCACAGCGAGCAAAGCACGTAGATTCAGTAAGAAGTCATACAGCGATACTTCAATACCAAAGACTGTATATATATTTTGCTACTAACCCGTATTCCTGGAACTACAAACCTGCATTACCGGTTTGTATTATTACGTTAATACATTATTTTCTTATATTCATTCTTGGTGTTTGTTATTTATTGGTACCGGATTTCATCCTGGAATCCACAATAGAAAGGAAAATAGAAAAAAAAAAGAAAATTTAAGGAGACAGAAGGTAAAGATTGACGTTGAAATCAAGATGCTAGAATCTAGATCCACAGGCGAGAATTGCGATAATAAACTATTAGAATAGAATGGTTATATCTAGCAAATGTAACAGTAAAATCTACCTGCCAGTCTAGTGCTACACTTAAATTCATGGAGTCAGTGCATCAAAGAGAAAAGGTCATAAGAACAATAGCATTAAATTATTTCTAGGAAAGGTGCAGGGAAGTTTCGTTACGTGGGAAAATGATTGAAGACGAGATGCCAACTCAGGACCAATAAAGTAGCAGATTCTTCTTTGAATATTCTGAAATCAATCTGGATACATAGCAGAAGCGCCAGATAACACGTGGCAACAATATTAAATATACGAATCAATGGTAGACTTAAAAATGATGCAAAATATATTCGGGTAAGAAGAATTGTCTAAGATGACAAACTGAACCAACTTTCTTAGCAGCAGACATATTAATTGACTTAGTATAAGCGTTGCAATTCCTATCAATGGAAAACGTGTGACCGAGAAGACGTAATAAGTTTCTCTCTTGGTGTTATCATCAACTATGCTAATGAAAGCTATAAAATGTTCTCCAAGACGATTGAAAGACAGTAGTTTGTTTTTGGATGCTTTAAAACAAGCCATTTATTGAACAGTAGATTGTAGGACATTGTCAAATTGACTTTATCGAGCCAATCAGATTTAACTTTACAATAGAAGCGGCATATTTACATGAGAATAGAATTGGGGGAAAATGAACATTTTTATTGGGCATATAATAGCCAAAATAAACAACTGAATAAGTTTACGGAATATAAAATAATTAATCGATGCTCTCAGATTTTTTCCTGTCAATATCTAAATAATAATGCTATTCTGTCTGTCTCACTGGTTATCAAAAACCCGAAGTAAGCCAGTGTGACGCTGAGATGTAACGACGTATTGGTATGGCCAAATGCGCATTCCAAAAGACAGGAGGGTTTCGTTGGTATTAAAGAAATGTGCACTGAGCTCTTACGTGATATCTGTCATTCTTTACAGCAGCGAATGTTGGGCAATCTCCTCAAAGATAAAGAAGCGACTCGAGATAACGGAGTTATGGTTCTACAGAAGGATGCTAAGGATATCATGGGCCGAGCGTGTGAACAACGATGAGGTTTTGGAGAGGATGCAAACAAAGAAAAAACTTATACTTCACATCAGGAAGAGGCAGCTGAAATTTCTGGGACACGTAATGAGAAAGGGGGGCTTGGAAAATTTGATACTCACAGGGCGGATAGACGGAAAAATGGACAAAGGAAAACCACGCGTGTGATATTTAATGGGTTTAAGCGAGTGAACAGAACAGGGTCAGGGAGAAATAACAAAAAGAAAAAACTTATTGAGAACTAAGAGGGACAGGAAGAAGTGGAGAGCCATAATCCTCTACGTCCTGAAGGGACACGGCACACAATAAATACGGGACCAGGTTATATAAATAAATTCTGAAGTAGATATTTTAATCATCTCACCACAAACTACGGTACGCCATATAAACTGATTTTTTATGTATGTTTTATTTATATATATATATATATATATATATATATATATATATATATATATATATATATATATATATTTATGTCAATTTCTATAGATTGTTTAAAACCCTGAAAAACGGAAAAATGTTAGATTGCTGTAAAAACTAAATAAAAGGTTAATTAAATCTTCCCTCTCGAACGTTTTCAATGAAAAATGCATGAAAGAAAAGTTGTTTCCCAAGTACACATCAATATATATATATATATATATATATATATATATATATATATATATATATATATTGATGTGTTTTTGATGTGTTTTTGACAACCTTTCTTTCACGCATCATATATATATATATATATATATATATATATATATATATATATATATATATATATATGTGTGTGTGTGTGTGTGTGTGTGTGTGTGTGCGTGAGTGAGAGTGTGGAGGAATATGTAAAATAGGGTTTTTCAACCATGGTACGTTGAAACACCGGTTCACGTACGATCACCGAAGTTAAGCAACGTCGAGCCTGCTCAGTACCTAGATGGGTGAACGCTTAGGAATACTTGGTACTGTAAGATTGAATGTGAGGGTGGCGTTATGGATGATGGCTCGGAATTGTTGATCAGAAAGCCGAGTTCCAATTCCAGTTGGGTTCGTCATATTACTTACTATACAATATCATTACACTACTTACGCGTAAGTACCCATGGGAAAATTATGAATGTACCTCTTCTCTCTCTCCATGTATGGGTTAATTAGTAAGACTTGTATCACTAAATCTTTTTCATCTCAAAAAAAATTCTTACCATCTAAAAATATTTTCTGGCTTTAAATAACCTGCAATGTGTTGATATGCTGTTGAAAACGAATCAATCAAACAGACTAAGTAGTTATTACCATCTGAATAAATTACTAAGAGGTATAAAAGACGGAGAAATTTTTGAGAGATATGCTCGCTCACGTCCTAAATGGATACGGTATATCGAACAAAAAATATTCAATCTCTATTTTTTAAAATGGTTGTTAGGAAATTTTCTTTAGAACTGATATGCACTTGAAATAATTTTACTATCGAAGTACGTTAGAAATTATGAAACGCCCTCTTATGAGTGAACTCGAATGAAGGCAGGTGCTGCCAGCGTGGCATTTACGGCTTTTTAGCAATTCCTTCCTTTGTTAATTTTTTTTTTTAAAGCAGGCAAACGAAAAGGAACCATAGGTAACGACATTTCCCAAGATCGTCAAACGAAAAGAACATTTTATTCGGCACAAAATGGGCAGGCGATCAATTCAAATTAATTTCTAAGAAATTGAAGGAGGGAAAAATTGGAAATCTAATTAGGTTCACGACAGGAAATGAGAAAATAGCTGTGAGAAGGGAAATAAAATTGAATAAGCCTTCATACATACATATATATATATATATATATATATATATATATATATATAGATAGATAGATGGATAGATAGAGAGCGAGAGAGAGAGAAAGAAAGATCGATTTACAGGGTGAGATAGGTAAATTATCGCCATTTTATATTTGTAATTTCGCGCATGCGCTTTGTTTGTTTATGATTTTGTCGACCTCACATTATAGTAGGGTCAGTCGGTCACCGTCTCTGAGAAAAAGAGCACCATGACGCAATTCACTACGCAAGAAAATTTGGAAACGGCATATTGTACTACTTAGAATTCGCACTGGAAGCTCCAACACGAGCATTTCAGAGTGTCTGGGTATCAATCTGAGGAGAGTGCAAAGGAATAGGAAAGAGTTGGAAGAATCTAATGATGATTACGAAGGTACGGCAGCCCATAAAACTCGCTCTGATCATTCTGATAAGAAACGAATCCTCCAATTTGTTGAGGAGAGCCTCAGGTTCAACATGGAGGCCTACATCAAGTGCATTGAGGATGTAATGCTGCCATGGTTGAAGAGAGTGGCTGCTGGATAACCTATATCTGAAAACAGGACTCTGCACCATGCAGAACAAATAAGAGAACCCAATTATGGCTGTCATTTCTGCAACCACATTACCCCTTACATCTGGCCACCTAACTCCCCAGACTGCAACCCCTTTGATGCGTGGAGCGCATTTGAGTGTGAGAAAGCTCCTTGTAACACCAGAAAGCTCCGTGTAACACCAAAGATAAACTGAAGGCAAGGATTATAACAACATTCACCAACTTAAGCAAGGAGATCGTCCAGAAGAGTTGCAGGAGATTCCAAAGTCGTCTGGAGGCCGTGGTTGAAGCGAATGGCGAATTTATTGAATAAATTTACTCTTTAGTATTTCAAGATATTTTTGTGTAATTGTGGTAAATATATGTTAAAACGTGATGTCAGTGTTATTTTCATTTTTATATGTTATACGACAATTTATCCAGCGCACACTATATATCTGTTAAAATGAGATATCCGTGTTATATTCCTTTTTGCGTAATTTAGAAAATTCATTAATCGCACTCGATATATCTGTTAAAATGAGATGCCAGTGTTTTTTTTTTTTTCATTTTGGCGTCATTTAGACGACAATTTATGCATCGCACCTTATATATCTGTTAAAATGAAATGTTAGTATTATTAGGTTGGTGCAAAAATAATGACGTAATAATGTCGTTTTTTACTTTTAAAAAAATACGTCAAAAACGACATTACTACGTCATTATTTTTGCACCAACCTCTCTCTATTTTCATTTTCTGTCGTCATTTAGACGACAATTTAGCCATCGGACTCTATCTCTCTCTCAATCTATCTATCTCTCTCTCAATCTATCTGTCTATGTATCTATCTATCTATCATTTTATCTATCTATCTATATATATATATATATATATATATATATATATATATGTGTGTGTGTGTGTGTGTTCATTATATTATTGATGTGAAATATCCGAAAAAATACTTGGAGAATTTGATGGAATGATAGTGAAACTTGGGATAGAAAAAATTAAACCTATAAATATATTATTCTAATTATTGTTGTTTATTTTAGTCTCCTTCGAAATCAGTTGTTTCAATATTCGTCTTATTAACAAAAAAATATTTCTGAGGTGATGTATTTTAACTACGTGTTTTCCTAATCTTTGTTGACACATTCACGAAGTTTCAGCCGTTGTACGCTCTGATCTTCTTCAGTAAATATATATTTACTCATTCATCAATATTTAAATATGTCAAGAAGAACAAGCAAGCGAGAAATGTCGCTAAGTTGAATGTAAGAGTCGTATAGAGAAGCAAACATTTGAATGAAGGAAATGCTAAAAACGCGCTGATTACCCTACAAATATGGCTGTCAGCAAAGAGACAGAATATTTAAGAGTCAAGATGGCCTCCAGAAAAATTTGCTTGTTACATTCCCATCGATTCAGTTCCTGGGGCTTTTTGAAAAATAAGGATGCAAGGCATTACATTTCCGTATCTAATGGATTACCGCACATTAGTTCTTTCTTTCTTTCTTTCTTTCTTTCTTTCTTTCTTTCTCGGTTTTTCACTTTACCAGTCTTTCCTTTTCTTTTTTTTTTCTTTTCCATCTCTTGATTTTCTTTCTTTTGTATTCAATTTTTCTTTCGTATCATTATTATTTCTTAGTCTTTCATTTATCTTACAATAATTCTTTGTTTCTTTTCCCATATTTCTTACGTAATTTTTCTTTCTTTTGCTTTCTAATTTCTTTGTTTCTTTCTTTCTTTGCATCGGTACCATAGATGGAGGATTCAATACGAATCTATGGTACCGAGACTTTATGAATTTAGCGCAGTACTAGATTGGCGGCTAGGTCTCATTATTTTACATTTGTTAAATCTAACCGTATTATAAAAGTTCCTTTTCTCGCACATCTCGCTTCCAAGTCAAATCACCTGTTTGTAATTAGAATATTATCACCTCTTTGATCAACTCTTTTTAATTAGAATGTTCGATCACCTCTTCGGACACCATATTTGTGACCTTGTATCAAAATTAAGCCACATGCCTCGTTGTGATATTTAACGAATTAGTCTACCGTAACAGTCACTTCTCGCTTGTGTAACTCTCTTTTGGCTTCTTGATTCCCAGCTAAATTTGATCTTTGAAAATTTAAATTATCAATAGTTATCTTAATTCCAGTTTTCGATCCTTAACAATATTCTTATTCTTCTATTCTTTAACACTCAGTAAGCCCTTGCGTTATTTTTATGGTAAATTATCCATAGACGGATGGACTCTTTTAAGTTACAAATAAAACCAGGTACTACTTTTGTCAGGAGAGTTTTTCCCAATAGTCAGCTCTGACAGTTCGGACTTAACATTCTTGTTCGTTTGTATATTATTGTATTACTGATTTTCATAAGATTAGATGTGGCACAAGGCCGAAAGTATGGGGTACCCAGTGAGGATCGAACTCACTACTCAGTCGTAATTGATCTAGCGGGACAAGCTTTCTAACCATTACACCACATCGAAGTGCCCATCTGATTTTCATTAATATATTCGTTAACTCAAATCCACGCTTGTGCCTTTATTTTGGCCCCAACAAAGCCAAGACAGTTATAGTGGCTTTATTGACTTGCTTGGGGTGAAATGATTAAAAAAATATTTCTTTTTTTTATTTTAAATTCTTTTTCATCTTTCTTAATTATTATACTTGTCATTTTTATTATTTTTCTTTCATAGTAATATTCTTCTTTTTTGTTTTCATCTATTTTATAAACTTCAAATAATCGCTTTATTTTCACAAAAAAAAAAAATGTATTTCGAATATTTATTCTTTATATTGAAAATTACCCCATCAAAATATTTATATTTTTGTTTTGGACGAGCTCAGTCCAGAAACTAACGAGTCATTCGGACTATCACGTAAACCGGTTGAGCGATCAAGTAACCCATAAAGGGAGATATAACTGTATATGCGTGGTCAGACACTCCCGTGGGGTTACTCAGTCGCCTTTGGGTCGCATCTGAGCAAGTGTGGGCAGTGTATGCGCATCGATTTCACATATTTTTCGACTTTTCCAGTGGGTTTTGAAAAAATGTATATGGAAGCTCGCTTCCCTAAAATTCAGATTTTACAAAAGCTGGTCAGACAACATCAAAGATTAGACGTACATGATAATTCTGGAACGCCTGAGAGCCACCACAGATCATCCTGGAGGAGGTTGTCTGTTTATTCTGCTTTTAGGCGCCACCAACCTCCCCCACACCGCCGACGATTAAAGGAGATGATGAAGCAAATAACACCACTATGGTGCTATTGGGATTTAAAGAGAAGGAAAACTTTTCAGAATGGACTTTAAAGTCCTACTGAGGAAGAAAAAAATAATTCGTCAATAAAAATTTCAGAATTCAGACGGAGGCTTTGAAGTATAGAGTTGAAGTAGACTTTAGCAGGAACCGGAAATCCATTCCTAAACAAGAAACAAGCGATAAACGTCTGCTCCAGTTCAAAAGACCGGAAAGGATTCTTAATCGTACAAAAGGAAATGATTTTCCATTTCACTGAAGCAGACGTTAAAAACATGGAAGCATTATCGCATCCTCTATCTTCACTTTTTTCTTTCTTACACTGAAACCAAAGACTGTCTCTGATATGCCGTTT